GCTGGTGCTGGTCAGCCACACTTTGCGTCCTGCCGGGAAATGTCGCATCCAGCATAGACCCTCATCGGGAGAGAACGCTAGTCGCCGGGTCTCCAACCAGCTGCACTAAACTTTTCGTTGAACAGTCTTCCATCTCCTCCAGCCCTGACCGCTAAGCGCCTGAGCCTCCAGCTCGCTCACCTCTGTCTGCCTGTCGCCCTCGCCCGACAAGCCCGTCTTCCCCCATTTCACGTCGCTTGGAGTAAAATCTCAGCGCCCGGCATCCCAACACAATGCCCGCAACCACAACTCTGCTGTCCCGGGCTGGGAGCCAATTGAGCTCGCGGGGGTCAATTGCCCTGCGCGGCGCCCTGCCCACCTCGAGATGCTCCGCGTACGTTAGCTTCACTCCCGCGTGGCATTGTCCACAATCCTCCGACGAGCAAAGCTGACACGCCGTATACAGACGCACACCAGCCCTGTCCGCGCTCGCACGCTACTATGCCTCCAAGTGTGAGCACTCCCACCGCGTCCCTCGCGGCGAGATACTCCGCTGGCCATCGCATTGCTAACGCAGCCCGCAGCCTACCCCTCGCACAGCGTTATCAGCATGCCCGCCCTCTCCCCAACCATGACCGCCGGAAACATTGGCGCATGGCAGAAGAAGGTCGGCGACTCAATAGCGCCCGGTGACGTCCTCGTCGAGATCGAGACAGACAAGGCGCAGATGGACTTTGAGTTCCAGGAGGAGGGCACCATCGCCAAGATCCTCCGCGACGCTGGCGAGAAGGACGTCGCTGTTGGAAGCGTAAGTCGAGGTACACAAGCTTTCGAGGATACCATGCTGACTCTCGCAGCCCATTGCTGTTATGGTCGAGGAGGGCGAGGACGTCTCCGCGTTCGAGAGCTTCTCCATCGAGGACGCCGGTGGTGACAAGAAGGCCGACACTCCCTCCAAGGAGGGCAACGCCGCCGAAGCCAGCGAGCCCCCGAACACTGGCTCCAAGACCGCTCCCCCCGCCAAGGAGGAGTCTGCGCCCGCTGCCATCGAGTCTGAGTCCACCGGCGACCGTCTAGAGACCGCTCTCCAGCGCCAGCCCGCCGTCTCCCCCGCCGCAAAGAAGCTCGCGCTCGAGAAGGGCGTCCCCATCGGTTCCATCAAGGGCACTGGAAAGGGCGGCCAGGTCACCAAGGAGGACATTGAGAAGTACAAGCCTGCCGCCGGTGCTGCCCCCACTGCTGGCGCCTCCGCTGCGGCGTACGAGGACGTCGAGGCTACCAGCATGCGCAAGGTCATTGCTACCCGTCTCCGCGAGAGCATGCAGCAGAACCCCCACTACTTCGTCGCCTCCAACATCTCCGTCTCCAAGCTCCTCAAGCTCCGCGAAGCTCTCAACGCCTCAGCTAACGGCGAGTACAAGCTCTCGGTCAACGACTTGCTTGTCAAGGCTCTCGCTGTTGCCGCCCGCAAGGTCCCCGCTGCCAACTCATCCTGGCGCGAGGATGGCGGTAAGGTCATTATCCGTCAGCACAACACTGTCGACGTCTCCGTCGCTGTCTCTACCCCCGTCGGTCTCATGACCCCCATTGTCAAGAACGTCAACGGACTCGGCCTCCAATCCATCTCATCCCAGATCAAGGACCTTGGCAAGCGCGCACGCGACGGCAAGCTCAAGCCTGAGGAATACCAGGGCGGAACCATCACCATCTCCAACATGGGAATGAACCCCGCTGTTGAGCGATTCACCGCCGTCATCAACCCCCCACAAGCTTGCATCGTCGCAATCGGCACAACAAGGAAGGTCGCAGTACCAGGCCAGGCTGAGGATGGCACAGCGAGCGTTGAGTGGGACGACCAGATTGTCATCACCGGCAGCTTCGACCACAAGGTTGTCGACGGTGCCGTCGGTGGCGAGTTCATGCGCGAGCTCAAGAAGGCCATTGAGAGCCCTCTCGAGCTTATGCTATAATCTGATTCTATTTTCGGTGCATTTGGGACGACTGTGTAACTTTACTATTGGGCTAGATGAGATTGGATCTCAGGGACAGACGATCTTATGTACAGCGGATGGCGCGTTTTCTATCCCCCATGATCATTTGTCCAACTGTCGTATTGCATGATAACCCCTTGTATGAAAAGATATCTCCCTTCTTCGAATTGTTTTGCGTCTGTTGTTGCGTAGTTGATCACCCTACACGCCCGGACTAATGGTAAATCTAGACCCGGATTCTCGCCTGGAAATCTTTCTGCGAACCGGGACGGTGGTAAGCTATATAGCCGGCACGTATATGCAGGACAATAGGTGAACACCACAGCTCAGTCATCCCACACCTGCGAAGACCACATGCTCGTATGGCCCCACAGACGAGGCATTGGAAGGGTGTGTGGGGAGCAAACAGGCTGGCTTCACAGCGAGTGAGAGCGATAACGTTATCTGTACATCGTCGTGATAGCGGTGGTTTCCTATATTGAGTTCGTTCGCGCCTGCCTGCAACGATTCTACGTCCTTCCCTCAATACATTGTCACTCACGACCTCACCAAGATGCTCTATACTACTCTCGTCTTTTACCTCTTCTCAGCGGCAGCAATTGCCCTCAATTTTGATTGGGAGCGCGAACAGCTCACTAACGAGGATGCAGCTCGCAATGACGCAGTGCGCTTTGGTAGTGCATCACAAGCTGCGGCGCCTGCTGATTGCAAGATCATCCCGGGTGACGCTGAGTGGCCGGGCGAGGATGTCTGGACCTCTTTTAACGATACGCTCGGTGGTGTGTTACTGAAGCCGAAGCCGCTTGCCAGCGTCTGCTATACTGGTGAGGGCTACAATGCAGCGAGATGCGAACAGTACAAGAGTAACTGGGCGGGCATGAACCTACAGTGAGCTCACTTGTAACGCAACATCACCCTTATTGTGTCATTCTAACTACGACAGTACCGATGATCCCACCAGTATCATGTCCCAATGGGCATCCGGGAACGCATGCACACCAACCTCACAACCAAACTCAAAATGTACCCAGGGTGGTTGGCCGGAGTACGTCGTCAGAGCTACTACGTTGAGACACATCCAGCTTGCAGTCAACTTTGCTAGGAACCAGGACATCCGCCTTGTGATCAAAAACTCGGGTCATGACTTCAACGGGAAATCCATCGGTGGTTACTCTCTCAGTGTATGGACACACAACCTCAAAGGCATGACGTATGATCCGAACTACACCTCACCGACTGGTTCGTATACAGGGAAAGCTGTTGTTTATGCCGCCGGTACCCAGGCTTCTGAGGGCTCTACACTAATGCGGCAGAAGAATATAGTCATAATTGTTGCAGGCGGTTCAACCGTAGGTATTGCAGGCGGATTTCTTCAAGGTGGTGGACACAGTGCTTATACCAGCTACTATGGTCTGGCGGCAGACCAAGTGCTCGCCATCACTGCTGTTACAGCTGATGGAAGGGTAGTCGAAGCACATGAAGGGGAAAATGCAGACCTGTTCTGGGCTTTCCGAGGAGGAGGCGGAGGTAATCATTCTCAGCAAAAAGAAAATCCGACTGTCACTGACCAAGGACCAGGTACATTCGGCATCATCACGTCCGTTATCGTCAAAACGTTCCCCGCCACAGCCGTTACGTCAGGCAGTGTTCGTTTCTCAACGACACCAGACCGCGGATCAAGTGCGCCTCCAATCTCTGCAGAAACCTTCTGGGCCGGCATGCGCGCGTACTGGGAGTTTTCGATCGCTATCTGTGACGCAGGCGGCTTGGGTTACAGCTTCATCTACCCAAGCAGTAGTAGCACAGGTCTTACCTTTACTGTCAGTATCTCGGTTCCCAACAAAACAACCACCGAATATCGGCAACTCGTCCGACCGTTGCTTCAGAAGCTCAATGATCTTGGTATCCAACAACCTATGCCGACACTCAAACGCTCTCTCACGCCATCTTTCTCGTATGAAGACGACTCCTCACACCAAGCATCGCCTCTTTCCAAAAGAGTAATAGGCGAAACAACAGGCCACACCTTGATAGCATCCCGCTTCTTCCCCCGCACCACCTTCTCGACACCTTCTACACTAGAAACCTCCCACCTCGCCATCCGCCACGTCGTCGAAAACGGTTCCCTAACCTTCCACGGCATGAATTACGCGCCCACGCGCTCCGTCTCCGGAAATCCAAACAACAGCGTCAATCCCGCATTCCGCACCACAGTCCTCCACGCACAAGCCTACGAATCCAACGCGCACTGGGACGGCAAAGCACCCATCTTGTCGCACGAGGCACTGACGGAAAGACATCAGAGACTGCAAGGGTATATGCAGGGTTGGCGGGATGTCACGCCCGGGAGTGGGAGTTATATCAATGAGGGGGATGCGCAGGATTGGGAGTGGAAGGATGCGTTCTTTGGGAGCAATTATGAGAGGTTGGCGAAGGTGAAGAGGGAATGGGATCCTGAAGGTGTGTTTTGGGCGATTGGAGGCGTGGGGAGCGATGAGTGGGAGGTTAGAGATCTAGATGGGGGGAAGAGGGAGGGGATTGTCACGCAGGATGGGAGGTTGTGTAGGGTGGGTTGATGGTGAAGAGGAGAAAGGTATGTGCTGTGGGAGGACATGATCTTCAGCTATGCTATCTCGATAGATGGTGGTTAGGACTGCCAAAAGCCACTGTATCTAAGGATAGTCACAATTCAGTCATCATCCAGAAGGACGTGAAGCTCATTGTCGCTCCCCGGAGGATGTCCTACCGCTACATCGGAGTCTCGGTGCCCTTACCCCTCCGCAGTCTCACACCTGGGACGCCTGAATCACGGAGAACTTTAGCGAATCATACGCATTATGGAAATGCACAAGAACTTTTTTGGAACAAACGAGGGATAAGTCGGAAACTCGAAAATAGGAGCAATAGATAAGTGAAGGGTAATACACCACATGTCCCATGCGCCACATCCACCCTCCAAATCTTTGGCCCCAGCACTCCGACTCCTAGTTTCGTGGACTTCTTCTGTTCCCCCTTCCAATCCGCGCAACCATGTCCTCCACACCCAGTCTCTCCTCCAAAGTCATCCTGATTACCGGCGCAAACAGCGGCATAGGAAAAGCCACCGCCCTCTCCCTCGCCACCCTAAACCCAGCCCAACTCTGGGTCGCCGCACGTAACGTCGCAAGCGGCCATGCTACCGTCTCTGAAATAAAAGCCACAGCGCCAACCGTCGATGTTCGATTCGTAGAATGCGATCTAGCGAGTTTCGCCTCGGTGGCAAGAGCGGCGAGGGAAGTGGTGGAGGGTTGTGGAGGGCGATTGGATGTTTTGATGTTGAATGCGGGGATTGTATGTCCTAACTCTTTTCTCCCTGAAGCGTTGCTTATCTGTTCTTGTTCGGGTTTCCTGTGTGCACATGTGTCGATGTATGCGATGACTAATCTTCGCCTTCTGCGACGATAGATGGGCGGCCACCCGGGCACTACACCCCAAGGCCACGAACTGCAATTCGGGACGAACCACGTCGGTCATGCCCTCCTCCTCAAGCTCCTCACCCCAAACCTGCTTTCTACTGTCGAGACCACGAGCTCAACACCCCGCGTCATATCCGTCAGCTCGCGGGGCCACGCTCACGCTGCCGCCCTGCCAGACGGCGGCATCGCATTCGACACGTTGAAATCCTCACAAACAAACTTGTCAGGCGTGAACAAATACACGCAGTCCAAACTAGCCAACGTAGTCTACGCGCGCCAATACGCATTGCACTACCCGCAGATCATCAGTGTAGCGATCCACCCTGGTGACGTTTTGACGGAGATCTTCAATAAAGGCGCCGAGGGGGGTGATGAGCAGATTAAGTATCTGGCGCGGGAGGTGGCGCCTGAGAGATGTGGGTCGCTGGAGGACGGGATCAAGAATGGGGTTTGGGCGGCCACTGCGGATGAAGTGTTGAGTGGACGGTACTATGAACCTGTGGGTGTGTTGGGTATGGGGAGTGAGTTGTCCAAGGATACGAAGCTGGGAGAGAAGTTGTGGACCTGGACGCAGCGAGAGATGGAGGGATGGGAGCTCTAGGGAGAAGGAAATAGATGCTCTTGATTGGATGGTTTTGGTTTTGTAACAGATGTTCTTGAGCTGTATTGGTCCCTTCAGGTAGAAGAATGTCTTTTGTTGTCGGTGTTGTGCCTAGGTTTGGGATTGGCGTGAAATTTGATGACTTCCGGGCTGCCGTCCAGCCGCCATCTTCTGCATGTGACGACGACTTCGTTCGTGAGATCTCCTCTTGTCGTTGCTTCCACATCGTGGAACATGTTATGCTCCGGCATCAAAGACCAGCTATACGAATCTTCCAAATTGGGTATCTCTGAGAGAGAGAAGCCGTCTCCAGCGTTATCCCCATAGCGAGTATCTTGCTCTTCAAGCTCCATAACCGTTTCCGCGATATTTGCTGCCGTGAAAGAATCCCACGTTCCTTCCTTCAGCGGGATCACCCGCAGGAGCCGAATAGCATGGAGGCGGATGCGATGGTATCGACACTTGATAGCCGTGTAATACAAAGGCGCGATAAAGCCGTACTCGCCAATCGAATCGTGGAGGTTGACGTTATCGGGTATAGATTTCGCCAAGGAGTACTCTTCGAAGATGTGTATGGCATGCACAAGTATCGTGAGAAACGTTTGCGTATACACTTCGTAGTGCTGCTCAGACTGTACTTGCAGACAGCCGCACATTATGCCCGCCATGGCATGATACATGAGTAGCAATTTGAGGACTGATGGTTCGCGGCCCGTTGGAAGCTTTGCTGGCGGCGTCTTCCCGCCGAACGCCCACAGTTCATCTGGTTTCCTCCCAGCAGCTAGGGCTAGTTTGTCGACCGAGGGAAGTGTACTCAGATACGTATCGTACCACATCGCAAGAGAGGTCATGATCTCTTCTTGTCCTGCTGTAACCGCAGCAATCTCATCTTTAGTGCCTGGCCCCATCTTTCGATATTGTTGTGCTATGAGAACAATGCTGTGCAATAGCACATCAAGAGCGTCCTTCGCATCCTCGATAGTCGTAAAAGTCGGGTATGGTATGTTATTCTCTATCGGCTGGAGAAATATATCGAGATCTTCCAGACCGGAACCGAACAGATTGTTTTGCATATGTAGTGTGGCGAAGCTGCGCACGATGCCTTGGTCGATGCTCTTTTCATATGATGCCGGCTTGATTACAAGGACGCCATCGTGTGAGCGATCTTTCTTTGTGGTCATGTTCATCAGGACCTTTAGACCGTTCCGTAAGTGTGATTCGGCCAATTGGTATTGCCCGCGGAGGTATTCAAGCAAGGTAAATAACTGACAGGTGACCAATATGACTGTGACTGAGGCTTTGTCTCCACGTCGCAACAGCGGCTGTAGCGACTGGATTGCTTTGCCATATTGTTGAAGCATGAACTTTTCCCTCTCGTCCGGAGCTTGTGCCGGATCGAAACTGCATCTGTGCGCAGCGCTTAACGCAACAGCAGCATGAAGAACCGCCGGTTCTGACGACGCTGCTGGTAGCACGATCGAGTTCCAGAACTTCGAAGCAAACCAACCGGAAGTTGTATGAACGATGCGGATCCTGTATAACTGTAGATACCTGAGTTCCTCGACACCCAGGACTTTGGTTGGAGGTTTCTGGATCGATGTTGCCACCAGGCCGTATCTTTCAACGTAGGTGTTCCCTCCGCCACCCCACAGTCCGTAGCCCTCGCATGTCCGACCAGTGGAGCGACAGCGAGAGCATACAGGCTTGGTTTCGTCGCACTTGACTCTTCGCGCTCTAGTCGATGTCGGTAAGCGTCCATAGGAACAGATCTCTACCCAGATCGCTGCAGAACAAACAGCCAATCGGTTGAGTACCGTGTCGTTGAACAGGGGAGTCCACTTACTTGCAGGTTCCGCACCCTGATTTAGACTTCCTCCGTACAACACCTCTTACAGGTTGGTACGCAGCTTTTGCAGTCACGTGTTGATTCGGTGTGTTGGCTTCTGGCTGCATAGCGAGAGCGGCGTCTAGCTAGAGTGACGAACATGAAGACGTCGCTCCAACTCGTTTTGCGAAGATTCTTAGCGGCTCGAATAGCATGTTTCAAGGGAGACGCAGGGAATGTTGCGAGACAGTTTGGAGGACGAACGGACAGTCTGTCAGCCCTAAGCTCGCTAAAATTCGGGGAAGGTAGGCCGGACCCCTGCACACGTCGTTCCTTCTCATTAGCCCGCTCGGTACCGCTGAATGTTGATTGCTCAGCCCCGCTAATGATAGAGAAGGAACGCAACACCTGCACACGCTTCCCCAGGTGATAACCGTGGACTAACGCATTTTCTAAATTGCATAGCACATGTGCAGCGCGTTCCAAAAGGCATGACTATACAGTGTTCAGCGTTTGGCGTAATACCGTGCCAGACGTCGAGGAAGATCATCCCTAGTCACGATATGGGCGGTTCATGATCGCAACGGACACCTTGGGAAGATGCAACGATGTTGAAAGCGCGGTGCTGGGATCCGTCTTCGCAACATCATTGGACTAGCAACCATGGAAGAGACTAGCGTTTTCTCGAGACCACCGACGGAATGCGAAGAGCGTACTCGATCAGATTACATCGTATCTATCTCGAGATGCAGATCTGCTTATTACAGTGCGAGTAAGAACAGCCCACAGAAATATCGACCCGGCTTCGATAGCGAGCAACACCAACGAAGACTCTTTACGACTCAGCGAGATTCCAAGCAGACTCCCATTGAAAATCATTGTAGCGAACAAGCAAAACCAGAGCATGATCCTGACAGCGGGAGGCAGGAACTCGAACATGTTGCCCAAAATTACGACGATAGGAGACATCATCCTCTCGACTATAGTCGCGATAAAAACATAGACAGGGACTAGAGAACCGAACAAGAATCCTAGGCCGTTGGATACAGCGTTTGGAAACCATCGAATAAACTGTGCGGGCAGACGAATGTAAGTATTATCGTGCTGCCACATCGGTGTCCGGCTGTTCAAGTTCACTCCAACGAGAGGTCTTTGTTCGTTGTTCTCAACATTCTCGGAGCGGACTGCTGGGACTCTAAAAAGTCCCATGTTTGACGATTGGTCGATGCCGTAAGTGAATACGTCTAGCGACGGAGCGCCTAGGAGCCGTCGAATAAATTGTGCTGGTAGCCGAATGCAGCGGTTGTCGTGCTGCCACATTGGAGTCCGACTGTTTAAGTCTATACCAACGAGCGGTCTTTGCTCGTTGTTCTCAACATTGCTAGGGCGAAATATTGGGGAGCGGGGGGAGTCCTTGATCGGCGACTGATGCGCGACATGCTGGGAGGGTAGATGTGGCAACGACCGCTGAGATGCAAAGTTGTGAGTAGACTTTTGGGGAGGCATTGATCTGATCTTGATCAGCTTGATCGAAGCGTTTATTATGCAAAGGCTGACGCACGCGTTGTTTCCAGCTCGTGGACGTTCAGTACCCTTCCCTGTATTGTGTAGCTTCGAAGTATACCACCTATACAGCTTCACTAGAAGGGCTCGTGATGCTGTCACAGCTATAGCCTTGTAGCCCCGCTGGACGATCCTTCGAAGGATTACTCGGACAACGGTCGAAGCGCATGCAACTTGCACTGCAACCACCTTGATAGATGGGTCTGCGATCGATATGGCGAATATATTATTATGAATAATGAGAAAGATAGTTCTGGACTCTACTCGAATAGCTTCGGGTGAGCATCCATGTATGCGTTCCCAACGCGCTGTTTCCGCCCCCAAGTACTCCGCCTCGTTAAGCGCTCAACCCTGGCGTCATCCAATCAGCATGGCGGCGACTGCAGACTTGGTGGGGCTATGTTGTCGCTCAGCTTCTTAACAACATCACTCCTCACCAGCTCGCACCCGCAGGAGCTCAAAGCTCCTTCTGAAGTCGATAATGGCCGAGGCGCTCGCTATTCTCGGGCTTGTGTCAAACATCTTATCGTTCATCGACTTCGGCATCAGATTCGCCTCTGGGACTCGGAACGTACGCGATTCCCTTCACGGCACCTCTGCGGAAACTCGAGAACTTGAACTCATCGTAGAAGACGTCGGAAGATATCATGAACAAGTTAAAAAACAGCAGTCTTCTGGTCAAAAGCTATCCGTGCACGAAAGACGCATCTTGGACATGGTACAACAGTGCCGTGAGATAGCCGAAGAGCTGCATAAGGTCATTGACCGCCTACACATGCGCGAAGGTCGTTCGAAGACCATCGAAAGTAGCCGCGTCTTCTTCCAAGGTTTCTGGAAACAGCGCGACATTGTCTCCTTACGAACAAGGCTTGAAGCGTTAGACAGCCGAATCCGGTTGAATGTTGAGTTCATCATCAAAAGGCATGTTGACATAGAGCGTTAAAACGTTCGAGAGCTGACTTCCTTCTCTTTCAGCGATCATCATTCTGCGTTGTCAGCGAAACTTGATGGCCTAAAGAAGACTCAGGATACGTTGGCAATCAACTACGACGCCAAGCTAGACCAGATGCGAACCGATATCCTAAGTCTGGTACGGCAGGATCGTGTCAAGGAAGAAGGCATGCATATGGCGCAATTAGCTAGTTTGAAGACGAAGCTTGACGCACTTGGAAAAGAGCACATGGCATGCATCAACCAGAACGCTGTCATAAGGAGTCTCTACTTCCCAGTACTACACAGGCGATGGGGACAAATTCCAAACGCCGACAAGACTTCGAACACGTGGATCTTCGATGCATCTTTGACCTCCTTCACGGCCTGGTTGGCCAGCGCTGATGAAGACGATGGGCTATTCTGTATCACAGGTCGGGTAAATAGAACCTCCTTACTAGAGCCTTTTGTGTCTGAACTCATACTGACAAGCCAATATAGGCAGGCAGTGGCAAATCCACACTGATGAAATTCGTATCTGAAAACCCCCGCACGCTCGAATATCTTCAAGAGTGGACTGGCACGACTAAACTCTGCACGGCAAGCTACTACTTCTGGAATCAAGGTTACGAAATGCAAAAGAGCCAAGAAGGTCTCTTCCAATCACTTCTGTACGAGATACTGAAATCTGTACCCAGACTCGTCGAGATAGTGTGTCCAAGTCGGCTGGAGCACGAAGAATGGCGTTTGGAGGAACTTAAAGCTACCTTCGCCCGCATCGCTACCCAGGAGGATTTAGAAGTCAAGTTCTGCTTCTTCATCGATGGTTTAGACGAGTACAACGGAGCGGAGGAGGACGTTGTTAGTGCTTTGAAGTTCCTCTCCGCATCCAAGGACATCAAGATCTGCGCCTCGACGCGGCCTCGCTCGGTATTCGAGAAGTTCTTCAGTAATCATTCCCGCACATTCGACATCAAGGGCTTCACCAAAGAAGATATGGGACGCCATGTCCAGCGCGAACTCGCAGAAAATGACAACTTCCAAGATTTGGAGGATGCCGATTCCACGAGCGCATCGATAATGAAGGTGATTGCAGAACGCGCGCAAGGTGTATGGCTATGGGTCTTCCTCATCACTCGTGACCTTGTCTATGCCGTCAATCGGCATGAGGGTGTCGACATGCTGTGGAACATTGTCAATCTTTTCCCAGCAGACCTGGAAGAGTACTTCGAGGTTATTCTCAAGAGAGTTAAACCAGAGTATCTTGAACAGATGTCGCAGATCTTTTTGATAACGGTGGATGAACTCCAGCCGCTCCCATTGTACGCCTTCTCACTGCTGGAAAGCGAACGCAAGAACGCTGCATATGCTATCGACGCACCCATACGACCCCTTCGCGACAGGGATGTGGAAAGCCAATATCCCGAGTTGAAGTGGCGCATCCAGAACAGATGCAGTGATCTACTTGTTGTCAATGACGAAGAGTAAGTGGAGCTCCAGGTTCTCTCAAGCAGATAAACGCTTACTTGGTACTGTCACTAACCGTGCTATCCCTCCAGACATCCCCTCTTCCTGAGTCATCCGGTCGACTTCCTTCATCGAACCGTTCGCGACTTCTTGGAAGACAATTACTACTCACAACTACAAGCCAACCTGAAGGGCAAGTTCAGCTCTACGTCTACCTTATGCAAGATGTGCCTTGTAATGCTCAAATCACTCCCGGATATCGATCTCAAGGCACCACTCTCGATCAACAAAGTCATCGGGCTAACGGACGAGCTACTCTATTACGCGTATGAAACCGAGAGAGCCGATCAAAGTCCTACATCGTCTCTGGTAGAGGTACTTGATGCCGTGGATAGCGTCAATACTCACCACGCACGCGGTGTTCGAAACCACTGGACGCACGCCCGCGACCCTGTTGGTGAACGAGGGCTTGACGTATATCGAGAGGGCGACAAGTACAATTTCCTAGCCTTGGCTGTGCAAGCTCGTCTCGTGAAGTACGTTCGTGCAAAGTTAGACATGAACCCAAACAACGCGCGAAAGGGCGGACGACCGCTACTCGACTACGCGCTCCGCCCACGTCGCATCACACCTATCAGCATGCGATACCACTCCAAGCGCGACGACCCGAGTGTGAATGTGGACATGGTACGGCTCCTCCTCGATCGCGGAGCGGACCCAAATCAGCCCGTTCATCTGAACGACGGCAAGTCAGTCTGGCTGCTCTTTTTACTTTCGATACATGAGACCGTATTGCGTGCGCACAAGGGTGGCACAAAGCCTTCAGGGAGTCTCACTAGCGCTTGGTACCAATGTTGCCAATTGCTCATCCAACATGGTGCCCAGAGGAATTTGTATCTCCCTAAAACGGAATCGGTGTCAGCCGTTGGTAGCGTCTTGAGGGATCTCTTTGGGTCTGCGAAAACAGATGCTTTAGAAGAGCTTCTAGACAAGAAGGAGCAGGAGGAGCAGCAGTCAACGGGCTCGTGTATGGTCATGTGATGTTGTGCTAGGACCCGTTCAGAACAGAAATTGAACAGATACCCTGCAGACTACATTAGTTTCAAACTTTGGAAATATGACGCCGTTATTTACCATAAACGCGCATACATTTGCTGTAAGCATAGACAGCAAATGCCCATAAGCCGCTCTCCACACTCGGAGATCGACTCCCGCTACCTTGACAACATCAATATACAAAAGACGCCTGAACCCTAATCATGGAAGCAGCGGAACTCAACGTTGTAGTTCCAAAACTGGATATCGTGTTCGTTCGTCTATGGACTAGTCTATCATAAGCATCGCATTACCATGATCGTCATCACAGAGAAAACAAGAAGAAAAGTCGAACAGAGAAAACTTTCTCCTCGGCGCCAAACGTAGCCCTTTAGTATACCACGCCGACCAAATGCTTTTCACTTTGCCGTTACGCCTTCGCAGATGCCTCTCCGCTTAAGAAGCCTCCTCAACGCCGTCTGGCTTTTGTGCCTCGGCGTCCGTCATCTCCGCGTCTTTTGGCTCTTCCGCCGGCGGCGCCTCAGCCTGCTTCTTGGACTCGGCTTCCCGCTTTGCGCGCTCAAGCTCGGCTTGCTTGGCGGCGTGCTCCTTTTGGTGCTTCTCCATGGCCGCTTGTCGCTCGCCCTCGATCTTGTCGTTGTAGCGCTGGATGATGGGACCGGCGATGGAGCGGATGTCCTCCTTCTTGGAGACGTACTGTGCCTTCGACGCGTCGTCACCCTCGTCGTATAACCATTCCTGTTTAGATGTCAGCGCAGCTCATATATCGTACTATCGATGAGACTTACCTCGATGGTCTCGAGCTTGGTGTTGAGCTTGGCCTTCTCTTCGTCGCTGGCAAATTCGGCGTAGACGTCGAGGATCTTGTCCTTGAGCTCGTAGATGAAGCTCTCGAGGTTGTTCTTCTCGTTCTCGGTGTCTTGAACGAGCTTGTCCTCCATGATCATGGAGTTCTCCTTCTCGGCCAGGGTCTGCTTGCTCTCTTCGTCGAGCGAAGCAGTTCCGGCTGATAGTGGCAGGTCACCCTTGCGCTGCTGCTTCTTGACCTTGCGCATCTTCGGTGGCTCCTTGGCGGCGTCCTTGTCAACGTCCATTGCCTGCGCATAATTTGTTAGCTCATTTGTTACGTGCGCAGAAGCAGGACGCGCAAGTACAGGATCAGCGTCAGGCTTGTGTCGTTTCGCGGCAGGCTCGGGCGGGCTTTGCCGACCGTTACTAGGATCAGAAGGAAATTTGGAACGTACATCACCCTCTTTCTTCTCTGCTGACGGAGACTCGGGGATTGGCTCCTCGACTTCGGTTTCTTCGACGTAGTATCCAGACTCGACGTTGAGCACACCGTGCACGTTGAGACGTGCCTTGAGCTTGCAAATCATGAAGTCGCCCTTGGGGTCCTCCTTGACACCCTTGACGGAGAAACGGCCGATCCAGGGGTTCATCTTGCCTGGCAGTTGCTCGGGCTTGGCGTATCTGGCCTCGAGGTCGAATGGGTGTTTCCGGTAGAATGTGAGGATCTTGGTTGATGGCATGACGTTGCCCTTGTTGAAGACAGTCAGGTTGGTGTCCTCATCCGGAATGTCCTCTGACTTCTCCCATGTGAATTCAACGGGGTAGTTGACCATGTCGTGAACGGAGAAGTCACGGACACGGAATACTGGCGAGAGGATGGCGCAGCAGAAAGCGCAGCCACGAGCGACAGCCTCGTCCTGGTTGAGAGTGAAGGAGAGCGGCTTGCCGAAGTAGTCCTGGATCTTGGCCTTGAGGACGGGTACACGTGTGCAGCCACCAACCATCTCGATGGCGTCGATGTCGGCAGTGGTGAGCTTGGCCTCAGCGAGAGCCTGCTCGATAGGGGCGGTAGCACGGTCGATGAGGGGCTTGATCAGCTCCTCAAGCTCCTCGCGCTTGAGCATGCCGCGGACATCGACGTCGTTCATGATGGACTCGACGTTGATGGGGGCCTGGTTGTTCGCGGAAAGGACCTTCTTGAGCTTCTCGACACCGGCGGACAGACGGAGGCGTGCCTTGCCGTTCTCCATGACATCGATCTTGTACTTCTCCTTGAACTCCTTGGCGAAGTGCTCGACAAGGGCCTTGTCGATGTAGCGTCCTCCGTAGTGGCGGTCCCAGGCGCTCGACTTGACGGCGAGCTCGCCCTTCTTGAACTCAACGACGGTAGCGGTGTAGTTGCTGTGACCGATGTTGACGAAGACGACTCTCCGTGGCTTCTCCTCGGGCGCTGGGAGGTCGAGCTTTGTGATGCCCCAGCCGAGGGCGACGGCGGTGTTGTCGTTGATGAGCCTCAGGCACTTGAGGCCGGCGATGTCGGCGGCGTCGAGGATGGCGCGGCGCTGGGCGTCGGTGTACCAGACGGGGCAGCTGAGGACGACGTCGTTGACGGGGAGTTTGAGTTCGGCAGATGCTGTGGCGCGCATCTTGGTGAGGAACATGGCGGTGATCTGGGTGGCAGTGAACTGCTCCTTCTTGCCCAGATATGTCACCTCAGCGCCGACCTGGCCGCCCATGTCGATGAGCGGCGCGGATATGAAGTCTTGCTCGACCTGGACATCGGGGTCTGTGAGGTTGCGGCCGGCGAGGCGGACGAAGGAGGAGACGGTGTTCTTGAGGTTGGAGATTTCCTGGTTCTTGGCCGTCTCGCCGACGTATCTGCTCTTGGGGCCGAAGCCTACTAGCGATCTGGGAAATTGTGAGTGGATGCTCGTTGTGTGCGCTGCGTGCGCTGCGGGTTGACTTACGGTGTCGCGCGGTTGGAAACCTCATTTGCAATCTACTGGCGTCAGTATTATGGTGTATCATATGCGACCGGGGCTACTCACCACATCGACACCGCGATTCCGCGCAACAGCAATGACGCTGTTGAGCGTTCCCAAATCAACACCTACTACAGACATGTTTATCTCTGATGGCGGGGTATGTGTGGGCAAACGTGGAGGGAGTGTGTGCGGTGAAAGTCGTGTTTGGGGGGTCGTGTAAAAGATGGACAGACACGGGTTCGCAAATTTCAAGTGACCGCTGCGTGATGACTTGCTGGCAATACGTCGAAGAAAAGAGAACCTTCTCGACAGGCCCTGTTTTAGCGGGGTCACTAAAGAAAGTGTTGCGGAAGGCACGGACCACGCAAATCGTCCAACAACACGCTGCGTCATATCCGCTCGCACTCGCTCCTGCCGTCTCCGCCGACGCGTCTCGAGGCCGCCAGCGTCTTCCAACACAACCCCCATGGACGCCTGCACGCCCGCCTCTGAGCACCTGCACGCGTCGACCCTCTGCGCGATAAGATAGCTGACATCAGCATGGCCCAAATCCCCCCGTACCCACTCTACAACCGCACGTACAACCTGTACCGCCTGTCCCCGCTCCACTGCCACGACACGCCCCTCCTAGTCGACGCCTCACTTCGCACCCATGCCAAGCGCCTCAAGGAACAGCTCAAAGGCGACAGCGTGCGCGGCGTGCAGGTCGACTTTGCCGCTGCCGACGACACCGCGAAACTGGGCCCCCTGGACGAGTGCACCTGGGAGCTGATTGGCGACGAGGATGCCTGGATTGACCGACATCGCCAGTCGATGGAGCCCGATGCCTCACAGCTGTCCTCCGTCTCCCAGCTCACCCCAGAGCGGGCGCGTGGACTGGAAGTGAGCCTCGAGTACGAGAAGCAGTCGTACAATGCGCTCCTGCTGCGCGACCCGGGCGTCACTTCCTCGCAAAATGGCTTCACGTCACTGCCCCTGCTACTCGTGAAGATGCCAGGCCCAATACGCGACATCTTCCTCAACTACCTCCGAACGACCTTCGATGCCCACGTCGCGCCCTTGAAGCTGCCCTCGCCCTTCATCACTTCAAGTCTCGAGACCTACTTCAGGCACCTCGCCGCGAGGTACTCGACCCAGTCCATACAAGACATTATAAGGCAGCTACATATTCAATTGGCATTTCCCAATACCACAACTATCCTCAAACACGTAGAGATCACAGTCGCAGGCGGCGACATCTCTGGTTTCGTCGACAGAGGCAGACTGCTCAAGGACACCCATGACAAACCCTTTACAGCTGCCCTGGCCGCGTATCTTCAACAGCACCTCGCCCTCGACATATCGCACCCCAAAGTCCAGATATCCCGAATAACCTGCAACAGCTTCCACCTCGGCACCGAGCGCCTCAGACTCGTCGCACCCGATCCGCTAGCGGACACGTCCTTCTCCGATGAAGGCGGCGCATCACAAGACGCAAGTGCGAGCGAACTCGCTGTACAAGAGCTCTATACATCCTTAGTTCGAGAGGCTGCTGGCAGCGGGAAATTCCTGCCGGAAGATATGACCAGCGCATCGAGAGAAGAGACGCCGTCCTCCATCGCAAGCGCTAAAGCCGGGCGCAGGAAGAGAGCCATCAGCAGCACTGCCGTCACCGATGGTAACAATAAGAAGACCAAAGGCAGAGGGAAAGAGAACAACCGGAAGCTCAATGGCAATGCCGGCATAGCCGATATGTAGGCACACCTAATCTTGGGTAGGAGTACGTTTTTCAAAGCGCGTTGAACATTTCCTAAGATACCCATTATCAATTTCTAGCAACGAAACCATTGCATCTCACTTCATCTTCTTCGCGCTTCAGGCCGACACGTGCCACGCTCCCATGCCACGTCTCTCTCACTGCGATGTCGCCACCGGATCACGATCGGCTACATCAAGTCACACACTGTCAAACTTCTGTCCAGCCACTTCCAACACTCTCACTCCCGCTACATCGCAATGAAGGCTTTTCCCATGATACTCGTCCGCGAGTTCAACGGACGTGACACTAGCTACCGTGTTGCAGCTCGTCGAGCTCGCAACTACTGGGTACGTCTACTGAGCTACTATTCCAGCATGCGTCGCGTCTCACTCCCATACATGCCTTCGACTTAGTCACTTGATCATAACCATAACACACCAATCACATGCTAAAGCCCACAGGAACTCCTTGCGAACGTACACAACATCTTCATCAAGCCCTGGGAACGCTACAATGCTCATATTCATTTCGACGGTCATGCTTGCGACGACCGGATAAGCCCCAGCGAATGGGATGCTGGAGGCTACTTCGATCCCGAATTCGTAGTGGACGGCAGACTGGTACTATATGTACACTTCGAACAAGTGGAACCACCACCAGAATCCAGCATGGATGCACACAATCCTTTTGAGACGGAGGAAGAGGATAAGCTATGGTACCGGGGAACATATGGCGATCAGGGACTTCGAACGAAGGTAGAATCGTTACGCGCTTATTGAGAACTTGGTTGACACGATGCAGAGAAAGTTTACGGAAGACATCGAAGATTACCTTGGAGAATCAAAGAAAGATTCGTCTAAGCCCTTTCCAAAGGGACTGCCGCACAACCCTTTCATTACAGAACCGGTCCTCAAGTCAACCTATACACTCAAGAGCACAGTCGCGTTACCGGTTGCTGCCAATGAGGTGGTGACCGTAGATGACTCGAGCAGCAGTTATCATCTCGACACTGGCGTCGTGATTGGGCGCGCCCTCCCACAAAGCTGTTTCGATCCTAACGTTCGCCCTGTCGTTCGCGCCGTGATCAGCAAAGTCGGCGCTGTAGTCGCTTACATTCCCGCGAAATACTCAAAACGGAGCGCAATCAAAGGAGATATACAGATCGCGATGACGCACGTGGAATATACACCCGAGCTGGTCAAGTTTACCTTCGGCGAAGAGAGAACGCGAGCCATAAAAGCTATGATCGAAGAGCGAAATGCACCTCACAACACGGGTACACCTCCAGATCCTGGTCTCTCTACCGTGAGTCCGTCACTACCGATCGCCCGTGAAGCTACCGCATCTGAGGTGTCGTTCATTATCATCGATGATACAAAGCATCCAGGCCTGCGCAAAGAAGGAGTCGTCATCGGCCATGCGAAGGTACACTGGTGTCTTACACCACACAAACGTCCTGCTGTTCGTGCAATGCTGAACAAAAAGAACAACGTCATTGCGTATATTCCCGCACGACACACTGGACATACGGACAGAAACGGTGAGATACAGATTCCATTAAAGGACGTAAATCTCTCGAAGTCGCTCGTAGCGTTGCCGCTGTGGAAGCTCTCTGACGCGATCAGAGCAATGATCAGGGCGAAGAGGGAGACAAGCGAGAAGTCCGCAGTGCATGGGTCAGGTGACCAAGAGGGAGGCGTGATAAAAAGGAGGAGAGAAACAAAGACCAAGCAAGCTATCGGGACTGCCGCGAACGATGACGAAACGGACTCTTTTTCGGATTCTACAGACGTTTCCGAAGGCGGTGCTCAACACTGAGCGAAAGCCGCTTTACCGTGTATGGGTGCTTGGTATATACAAAAGTCAGTTATTACTAGGTACACAATTAGGTTACGGACTTCTGATGTCATTCTACCCCCTCTCTTTCCCGTTTGTTGTTGCCTTTGCGTCCGTGTGACTTCCACTAGCAGTCGCTACACGCACGCGCACAATAAATATCTCTTAAAGAAACTCTAACTGCCCGCGATATCTCTCCTTCGTCACTCAGCTTCTTATATATACTCGGCCATCTTTAAGTTTCTACCCCAATACTCACTACTGCGATTCGAGATGTCGACCATTAGCCCTACCTTGATCGAAGTCAGAGACTTTGCAATTGGTCCTGACTTATACCGCCGACGCGCGTCTGACTTGAGCAATTGGGATGATCTCATCGAATACACGTTCAACGCCTTCAACCGCGATGAACGCTACTTCAGACTGCACTTCCATTTCTCTCGGGAAACACATTGTGTGGAGGACGAACTATTGACGAAGGAAGACTGGAATGACAGTATCTATTTCGTCGGCGCCAACAGACTATTCTTTGCCCATTTCGTCACAAGGGCTCGACATGAACCTCGAGGTTACTACCGGAGGAGGCAACCTTCACCTTCACCGGCGAGTCCTACACCTGAGCCTGGGTCGCCGGTGGTACCTTGGACTATGCCTCCGCTACCGCCCATGAACGCGCAAGGTGTTTACGAGTACCCTCCGCCACCTGCGCCTGCTCCCGCACCTACACGTCGTCCAGCGACACGTCCTGGAGGTGGACCTCGACGTGGTCTTGCACGTGGACGCGGACGTGGACGCGCACCACAACCCGCTCAACGTCCACCACCTCGGCCAGTACCACCACCAGCTCAACCCGTTCCAGCCGTCCGTCGACCAGCCTCTCAGCGACCAAACACCAACGCAACCAATGTATACACCATTGGACCACCTATACCGGCTGACCGGTACCCAAACTCAAGGTACTTCTCCTCACCTTTCACCTTCATTCCCCTGCAGCCTGCCCCACCTCGACCACGAACACATGCTCAACAGTACAGGGCCCCTCTTCCAAGTTCAGACGCACCGGCTACCAGGCCTGCGGCTGCGACATCAGCTCCAGCAGTACCCGTTCGCGATCCTGTCGCCCCAATGTTGCCTCCTCGACCAGCTGTTCGCCAACCAGCTGGCGGATCTACGTCTCGTCTGCCGACTACAGGCAGTTCAAGCGGCCAGCCAATTGAGATATCATCGGCAGAGTCGTCGTCCAGTGACGATTCCAGTATGGATGTAGACTCCGACGCCCATCTGAATGCTGCTGAGCCCACCGCCCCACTACCGCCGTCACCGCCACCACAGGATGAGGACTTCAACATGGAGCTCTCCGACGACCCCATATCCGACTCCGACGCGCAAAATACCCCCCTTCCCGCACCAACGTACGATGAATACGCGGACCTACAGTACCCCGTCGTCCGGTCTTCACCAGGACCACGATACGAAGGCCAAACCGACGATGAGGAACAAGATCTCACCCTTCAATCACCACTCTACCCACTTCCGGAATTCGAAGAGAGACCAGATGATGAGCACGAAGACCTCACCCTCCAATCACCACTCTACCCAGGTTCTGAGTTTGAGCAACCACCGGATGAGGAAGAAGACCTCACCCTCCAATCCCCACTCTACTCCAACTCAGAGTTCGACCACCCACCAGACGACCAGATCGAAGACGAACAAATGTCCATCGCCCCCACATCACCAGGCTCAGGCGGCCTCTTCGTGCGAGACGAGACAGAAGCCCAAAATTTTGAGGCAGCGTTGGCATGGGAGGACGATGGTACACAGCAATCCGTCGTGGAGTCTGAGCTCGGACAAGAAGAGGAAAGGCCGGATAGTGAAGACGGGGATGCGATGACATTTATTGCGTCTCCTTCTGTTGCACCTTCGTCGGCTGTGCCTACTTCGGCGGGTACGGGGCTGTTTGTGTCGGATGGGAGTGAGACGAGGGGCTTTGCGGAGGCTTTGGAGTGGGAAGAGGATGATGCTGATGACGACGATGAGGAGATGGAGGATGAAGGGGAGGGTGATGTGGAGGTCAGGAGGCGATAGAGGGTAGAAGAGATCGCGTTGGGTGTCTGAAGAAGTCGGTTGAGGACTACAAAAGTTGTTTGTTTGAACATTTAGCGTAATACACTGGGGGTTGAGGACTTCACTTGTTTCTTGTGTGTATCTGTGTCCTTGTGTATTGAGTTGACGACCTCCGCGGTAATATGAGTCGGCTACCACGAACTTGGTAGTACCTATGTGTTCTTCACTGGGGGTTTCTCTTGTCGCAGTATCGCCACATGTACTGCACAGGAAAGAAGAAACATCGCCCTTTAATGAGAAGAAGATGCATTCATTCATGTCATAAAGACGTCGAGGATACGTAATAGGGAATCATAAAGAAAAGACAATCGACGAGAACGATACACCGATGCGACTCATCCAATCGCCCAGCGCCATCAGCCCGCCACCTCCCATAGCCACCTCTTCCTACCATCATGTATCCACCTCAAGTATACACACTCTCAGTGAAAGAGTTAACCTGCAGCCCCCTCTCAGCCATATCAGCATTCTCCAAAAACTTCAACTGCATCCACACCAAATGGCCCTTGACACGATCCAACTCCGCCCTAATCTCCTTAACAGGCCTAACCATGTCATACAAATGACCCTGCTTGTGTTCCTTGTCTCCAGACGGGTTCGGCGTAAACTTGTCGTAGTCCTCAAACGTGAGGATATTGTCATCAGGATCGGCGTGAAACAGCGACCTGAACACCTCGGTGTTGGTAGTCGCGCGCTCGGTCCACTCGTCCCAGAGTTTGGGTGACAGAGGGTCGGAGACAAAGTCTGCTTCGGGGCCGGGCATGGGATCGTTTGGTGAGTTTTCGCCGGGGGGCTGCGCGTTGGGGTCGTCGGCGGCGTTGAGGCTTTGGGGTGGGAGTAGACCGAGATGTTCGCGCCATAAGCTGCTGCGGAGTTCGTGGGCGAGTTTTGCGGCTTTGTAGGGCTTGCCGTCCATTTCGGTGTCGATCTCTGCGGTGTCTTGTAGGACGATGGAGAGCTCGGAGTCGTGGAAGCCCAGCTGGGAGCGGTCGTTGATGTTGGAGGATCCGCAGATTACGGTTTTGTCGTCGACGATGCAGATTTTGGCGTGGATGTAGAGCTCCTCTTGGAAGAAGTGCTCTTTCTCCTCTTCCTCTTCGCCTTCCCAGGCTTCCTCGCTGGGCTTCTTTTCCGTAAGCATCGCGTCATCGGCAATCGAGTCTGGGTCAATAACACCACCCTGGTCGCCTTTGCCCACATCTTCCTCCTCATCCATGTACGCTTTCCTCATCTCAGCGGCTTTACGTCGTGCCTCGTCTCCTCCCTCTTCCGGCGGTGCTTCCAGCTCGTCAATCTCAGCTGCTTCCAGATCCATGTACGACTTCCCGGACTTCTTCTCACGCTCCTTAAGCGTGGGGGTGACATTGATGCGGTCGTATGAACGAAGATTGAAGAAGAAAATGTACTTTTCTGGATCGACACCGGCCTTTTTGATCTGTCCGTATATGCTTTCTTCTCCTCGGCAGATACTCTTGAATTGATAGTCCATGATAGCTCGTGTTCCAGCAGCGGCCTGATCTCGAAGATCTCCCGCGAATCCCGGGATTGCTGGAATGACAATGACGATTCTGAAGTTGCGCTGCTCTTTAGCTGCTGAAACGATAGCGTCGACCATTGCAGCTCCGATCTGGTTGTGGACAGGGCTCTGGTCGTGTTTACCCGTTGCCGTGATGAAAAATTGATTCTCAATGTAGACGTAGTGTTGCGCGTTACGGATGACCTCGCAGTATGCGTTCTGGATACTCTGCTCATGAGGATCAATGCCCATACTCCAGTCGCCGCTACTTCTGACTAATTGCGCGTGTACAGTTCCACGGTTGTCGAGGTTCTTGCTGTTCAGCTGCGTGAGGGGATGGTGCACATATTGGCCAACAGGAAACTTGGGCCGCTGCACTCCGATCAGGTCTTCGTCGGCGCCTTCACGTCCTTCCATGGTGAGCCAATCGTATCTCTCGTCACGCTTGTACTTTTCTCGCTTCACGAAGTTCCATCGCAAGACGAAATGCTCAGCGATGTCGTAAACCGCTGGGCCAATGACACCCATTGCGACATCGTGCCATGGCATGCGACCGAACTCCAGTTTGTTCAGCTTGTTCGATTTCCAGTCATCAACACTCTCAAAATCCATGATACGGTTATTGTTGTAGTCCTGACCCGGGAAGATTTGGTTTTGAACACCAGACGGGTGGGCATCGGCAAGCGGGTGCTGCTTGTCGTCCCATCGGCCGTAACACAAGTCCAGTCCACCGATGAAGGCCATGGCATAGTCGATGACGATGAACTTCTCGTGATGCGCCCAGTAGAACGTCATATCCGAAGCATTCTCGAAGACATTGTGGTCAGGATGTCTCATCACTTTGATGTTTCCATACCCAGGCTCGCCTTCTTCAAACAGGCCCATGAGTGCCTTCTTGGTGTGTTGGCTGTTGCATGTGAGAGCCGCAGAAACCTGAGTAAGTATAAGCTGCTGTTTATTCGACGCAGATTGATGACCTCACCTCCTTGTATACGGAAACATAGATTTTCACACCAGCCGCTGCACGGCGTTTGAGTACTTGATCCAGTCGAAATTGCTGGTTATAGTAGGGCGGTCGCTTCAAGAAGAGCTCAGGGCTGAGCCACCAGTCCGCAATGTAGATGGTCTCTTTGGCTTGCTCCAATGCCTCGGCAACGGCCCAGAAGTAATCCCTACCATCGACATACCACTTCACCAAGTTGTTGTCGCGCTCTGGCGCAAAGCTATGGAAGCGGTGGTTCTCCGCGATCTTGCTCCTCTTGGCGTCCGTCTCCTTCTCATGCTCCTCGTCGTGGCGATGGTTGGCATTGAAGAGGTTGGTGAACTTGCCGATCTTATGCTTGATGTGCACAGCCTTAATATGCGCACCTCGTAACTTGGTGTGCTCGAGCTTTTGCTCAATCTCCTCAATCTTCTCAGAAGCGCGATGGTTGAAGGGATGGAAGAGCTTCTTGAGGCCCTTCTCTTGGGAAGGCATGTTGGCGACCGTGCGCAGCGATCAGCAATCGCGCGGGGTAGCGATGGTAGAGATGGTGAGGCTGGAGAGGGAGGCTGAGGAGTGAGGCGTAGGCGACGGAGAGGCGATCGGTCGCGTGCACTGGTCTTGTACTGACCCACAAGGATGGAATAACCTGTATTCACTGTGCTGCACTTGGCAGGTAAATAGGCATGGCGCGATCTCAGCCGCCGGAGGGACCGATTGGTGACGTCATTGGCGGCTAGCCTTTCCGAGCAATAGCCATCATGCACCTCCCTCAAGCGTCCATCGCGGTTGAGGCTACAATCAGCCCGGGGGCTGGGATTAACAACCCGAAAGCGATTCAGCACCGGGTTCATGATGCCACTACTATAGCACTACAAGAAGCTTGTCTCCTCGGTAAAACTAATTGATCAGATTCAGCATGCGCGACATCATGACCATGGGAGTTATTTTTACCCCGCGTAATCGGCCCTCCGGCTGCTTCATCCCACCACTTCCGAAACTAAGCGCGTCCGCGCGGCAGAAAAGACTAGTACACAGCGCATGAGCTGAGAGAAAAGTCTGATGATCTGGGAGCTTTGACAAAGAGGAACGAGTGGGTTAAAGTGCATCTTCAAGACATCGTGAGATGGATCCCATGAGCTGCCCATGGCACTGCAAGACACGTTATCTGAAAGCTGGAGACTCAATAATACTAGAAACTAGTATTTACGATAAAGAGTCAGAACTATATCCATGGCCATGATACAACAGTAACTTCATCAGTTCGCCGAAAGCCTCCGGCAAACCACATCCTACATCAACACCCACCAAACATTGCTTCTAGTGAAGTCTTAGTTGTAAGATCGTTAGTCGTAAATCGTGGATCCTGAAATGGCCATCCCAGAGACAGTTACCGACGCGGCACTCCAAGAATTCAGGAAAATGGGAAGAGAACAGGCGTTAGTTGTGGCAGAATGGCAGTCAATCAAGCAACAACAACGACCGGCCAGCCGTCTTCCCAATCAAGATAGTTGTATCCAAAGAAGAACTGATCAGCTGCATAGCCGACACTCGGACGAACTGCATCAACGTTAGCTTGGTTTCAACGCATCGTATCCAGTCTTTTGCTTACCATAGTGATAGTACAACACGGTCCTTCCATCCTCAGGGTTAACCATAACGCCCTGTCCACCAGGTGCATAGACATCGCCATGGCTAGCGAGAATCGTCGTACCACCGTTCTCTTCAAGACAACTCTTTCCTTTCTGATCGTAGAAAGGTCCAGTAGGAACTTCCGAGCGACAGACAACAACGTGGTATACCTGACCCTCAGGAGCAAGACCTCCTGGAGTTTCTGGCGTATTGCAACACATACCCACGCTGTAGAACATGTAGTAATAGTCCTTTTCTTTCCACATGATAGCGCCCTCGGCAACGGTAGCTCCGTAAGTACTATTCCGCACCATGTTGTTGATGCGGTTATTCTGCTCGGCCCACCCGCCAAAAGCCATGAGGTCGTCGTGCGGGAAAAGCTCGACCTGGAAGATGTCGTCCCAGAAGGAGCCGAAGGTGAAGTAGATGGGGTCTTTAGGCGTCTCTTGGAAGACAAAGGGGTCGATGAGGTTGTACTTGTCGGATAGGGGGAGGCCGATGTCGCCGTGGTCTTGCCAGCTACCGGGCTCGAGGGACTGCGATGTTGCGACGCCGATGGAGGAGTTTTGGAGACCGATTCGGGAGACGGAGTAGTGGCAGTAGAAGGTATCGCCTCGCTTCATTACTGAAGGTGCCTGTTGTGTTGGTTAGGATGATGCGTGGCAGATTAAGATCCAGTAGAGGGAGAATGGACATACCCAGATGTCTTGATCCGGATGTACCTGGATGCTGGTACCGTTTTGTAACAACGCGCCTTCATATTCCCATGGTCCTCCCAGGGATGGCGCACTAGCAATGGCAATGTTGCCGCTAGTCGAGAAACGCCAGTAC